CCACGTGAAAACTCCAAGAAATTAATAACATATTCAGTAAAGTGGTAGTCTACAAAATTAACCTACAAAAGCCTATAGCCTTTCTATATAGCAATACCAAGTAATCAGAGAAAGCACATGGAAATACTCCCGTTCACAATAGCTGCAAAAAATAAAATAAAATACCTCAGAGTAAACCTGACCAAAGACATTAAAGAGCTCTACAATGAAAATTTTAAATCTTTAAAGATAGAGAGTGGAGATGGAAGGACCTCCCATGCTAGCTCATGGATTGGAAGAATTAATATTGTGAAAATGACCATTCTACCAAAAGTCATTTACAGATTCAATGCAATGCCAACCAAAATTCCCATGATATTTGTCACAGAATTGGAAAAAAACATCCTAAGATTCATATGGAAGCACAAAAGACCTCGGATAGTCAAAACAACCCTGAGCACTAAAAGCAATGCTGGGGAGATTACTATACCAGATTTTAAGCTGTATTACAGAGCTATAGTCATAAAAACAACATGGTACTGGCACAAAAATAGACACATAGATCAATGGAACAAAACTGAAGACCCAAATATGAGTAAACGCATTTTCAGCCACCTGATATTTGACAAAGGGGCCAGGAATTTCACTGGAGGAAAGACAGCTTGTTCAGCAACTGGTGCTGGCAAAACTGGATCTCCATTTGTAGAAGAATGAAACTAAACCCCTATCTTTCACCCTGCACAAAAGTGAATTCCAAATGGCTCAAAGACCTCAATGTAAAGCCTGAAACTCTGAAACTATTAGAAGAAAATATTGGAAAAAACCTACAAGATATAGGTGTAGGAAAGGATTTTCTAAATCAGACACCAATTGCTCAGGAAACAAGGTCAAGAATTAACAAATGGGACCTCATTAAACTTAAAAGCTTCTGTACGTCAAAGGAGACAACCAAGGAAGCAAAGAGAAAACCCACAGAATGGGAGAAAATCTTTACAAGTGACACGTCCTACAGAGGTTTAATAACCCGAATATTATAACAAACTCAAAAAACAGAGAACTAAGACAAGAAGCAAATCAATTAAAAGATGGGCTAAGGAGCTGAACAGAGTTCTCAATAGAAGAAGTAAATACGGCTATGATACATCTTAAAAGATGTTCAACATCACTAATAATCAGGGAAATGAAAATTAAAACCACTTTAAGATTTCACCTTACCCCAGTCAGACTGGCTAAGATCAAGAGAACAAATGATACCAAATGTTGGAGAGGATGTGAGGAAAGGGCAACACTCATCCACTGCTCATGCGGCTGCAAACTTGTTCAACCCCTATTGAAAGCAGTGTGGAGAACTCTTAAAAAACTACAAATGAACCTACCATTTGACCCAGTTATACCACTCCTTGGCATATACCCAAAGAACTTATCCTACGGCAGAGACACTTGTACATACATGTTTGTTGCTGTTCTTTTCACAATAGCTAAGAGATGGAAGCAACCTAGGTGTCCCTCAATTGATTAGTGGATAATGAAAATGTGGTTCATATTATTCCAACAACGTACTAATTATACATATCAGATCAAGAAGTATCTGTCTAGGTAAGGTTTATCTGAGAACAACTAGTCTTTGCCCAAGATTTATCTACATGACACACAGTAATTGAAAATACCAGACTGGTGGAACTAACCTTCTTGGGTGTTTAACAGGCATATTTTAGGTCTATAATAATTTGGTCATAGGGACACGAAGGAAACTTTTTTGCTCCTTGCCCTCCTAGGTCGACTAGTTCCAGGGGACTCTGAGCATCTCTCAAAATGTCCTATAACGGTTGTGGGTCACCTGTCCTCGTGATCAAGGAAGCCGAGGAGACCCCACCAGATGGACTTGAAGCAGTGTCCAGTCTATAAAGAGGAGGGTCAGCACAGAGGAAACATTTCCTTCATGTTTCCAAGCGAAGCCAGCCATGGTTGAGCAGGACCTTTGACTTATCTTCACATAGATGGAACTGGAAGAAGAAAGTACCCAGGGGCTCCTCCCAAGCCCTTGTGACCCCTGAGGAACAGATCCTCAAATGACCTTAAGAGTAAAGATTAAAGGGGCCAATATAATTTCTTAAGAGTCCATATGTATAGCTAAAGGCTACATAACAAGCGACAATGACAGACATGAGATACCTTCTTTTGAGTTGTTGGCCAGGGTGGTCATAGGGACTCCCAGATAGTAACCCAGCATAGAACTGGGAAAATGAACTGCAGACCCCAATCTTATCTAAAGGAATATTGACAACTGATTACTGCTAGATGAGGAACAGCTAACCTTCAGAGGGAGGCCAAGTAAAGAAAATTTGCAGAGTTGGGCACGTACTGTTCCATTAGAAACACACATAAGAGCAACTTCAATAAAGCTAAGAGAGAACAGACTGAAAACAGAATTTTGGAGATGAAAGGAAATGGGCAAAAGTCAATGCAAGGAAAAACTCCATGCTTTCAAGGAGTAGATGGGAAGACTGGGGAAACAGTAAATACAAAAACACAAACAAGGGAGCTTGTTTTGCTTTGTTTAACTTTCTTAAGCTGTATGATGGGCACTGAGAAGAAACTGGGGAGGATGAGGTAGAAAGTACAGGAAAGAAAAAAAGAGAGGTGGGGCTGGAGAGATGGCTCGGCGGTTAAGAACACTGGTTGTTCTTGCAGAAGACCTGGGTTTGAATCCCAGCACCCACATGGCAGCTAACAACTGTCCATAACTCCAGTCCCAGAGGACCTGACAGCCTCTTCTGTCCTCCATGGGCATTGCACGACACAGATCCACTTACCTACATACAGGCAATACACAGATACACTTAAAATAAAAGTAATAAATAAATTTTTTTAAAAAAGAAAAAGAAAAAAGGCAAAATATAATAAATGGGAACAAGTGAGATCAAGAGCAAAGATAGATGGACTATTCTCTCAACACCTTCTCTACAAGACTTAAGAATGTATAAAATTATTGATAGGTTGGGACAGGAGGCTGAAGAAATTGTCTATTAGATTCTGGGTTAGGAAAAATAAAAAGAGGACATAGAATTTGTGAAGATTTGAAAAGGTCCCTATAGAAAACAGGACCAGATCAGATAATAAAAAGGACTGTTGAACAGTAATGGGGATCAGAGGGTGGTATATAGGGATATCTGTTGCTAACTCATGGTAACATATACCCATCTGAAGTCAATCACTTTGCTATCTCAATCCCCTATTCTTAAGCACTGAGAAGATCTAGTGATTGAGTTAACCGGAACTCTGGCTGAAGCACCGGATGAATTAAGATCCCTGACAGGCTTACTAAAAATCTTGGAGAGATGACTCAGTGCTTAAGAGCATGCGCTGCTCTTGCAAAGGATCCTGGTTCTATTCCCAGCACCTACATGGGGCGCTGTCGCCCTCTTCGGGTCACTGCACATATACCAGGTGCACATACATACAGGCAAAACAATTATAAGCATAAAGTAGAAATAAGCCAGGTGCAGTGGCCCATGTCTTTAATCCCAGTAGAGGCAGACAGAGATCTGAGGTTGAGGCCAGCCTGATCTACAAAGTGAATTCCAGGTCAGTTGGGGCTACGTAGTGAGATCTTCTCTCAAAAATAAATAAACAGGTAAATTTTAAATTAAAATAAAGATTTTTAATGCAAATATCAAGCTCCATTCTTATTCCGTCAGAATTTATGGCGATGCAACTGAATTCCAGACGCTCTCCAAGTAACCCTACCAGGCATACCTGCTAAGAAACACAGACCTAAAAAATAATAAATTGAACAAAAGCTGAGCCCACACACATCTAGTCTTGGCAAAAATGCAATGCAGAACCCCACCACTTGGGAAAGCACACTCCAGTATTTATGGAGATTCCGATTCAGGTCAGCGTTGACATACCACCTTAGTGCTAAGCTGCAAGGTTGAAAAATGCAAAAGCTAAAAATGCAAGCATAAACCACTTGTTCGAAATAAAGTCTCACGTGATGTTCTTAGATTCTATATCTTATCCCTTTCCTTTCTAGAAAGTTACTTTCTAACTGGTGGCTCCAGCAGCAGTAAAGTGGAATTCAGGATGCTGCAAGAAACAGGGCGAGAAAGGAGACTACGGGAATTGTCCATACGCGGGAAAAGGTAGCGCATAGGAACAGAGACTCCTGAGTGCACATCCGCCCAAGACTCGGACGCTGAGCGCCCGGGACCCCGCAGCCTTTCTCCAGGCCTCCGGAAGCACTCACCATGGTTTCTGGATCTCAGCACAGGAAATCGGTCTCTCCAGACAGAAAGACCACACCGCCAACACCAACATCCGGTTACTCCGGCAACGGAGCGCTGTCCACTGCCGGCGCATGCGCACGACGCCGCCTGGTCTCCTGTGGCTGAGCACGCGCAGCTCCGCCCCTTCACCTATAGCCATCGCCCGGGGCAACGCGACGCGACCTTCCTCCTTCCAACGTGTCCACTTCCGTTTGGTTGACCAGTGACCCGGAAGTTTAAGCCAGACGCGGCCTCGCTCCAAATCTCGGTGCTTTTAAAGTAGGCAACACCGCACTTCACTCATCACCTCGCCGGGCCTGTATATCTGCAATTTAGTTGAGTACCGAGTGCTGGTCCTGTTCCTTAAGACATAATCCGGAAACGAAACCCTGAGTAACCGGAAGTGCTTGTGAGCAAGCAGCTAGGTGTGCGGAAGGAAAGCCGTGCTGGCGGCTTCGGAGGGGAAGTTCTGAGCCGGTGCTGCGGGGCTGGAGCACCCGGGGAGCGGGGAGAGAAGCCGCCCGAAATCCCGTGAGCCCTAGAGGTACGGCGTGGGGCAGGGTGTGAGCGGGAGGAGGCCGGATCGAGGCAGGGCGGCCGTCCCTCCGGGATTGTTCTAGACCGGGGCAAACTTGGAATCGGGCCCCCGGGGCAGACGGTGTCACTGCTTGCACGCCCTTGCCGCCGCGCCCCCGTCCTCCCGCGCTTCACCTGTTTGGAGACCAAAGCTCGCTGTGGCACCTGCTGGCTGAGCATCCTCCCTGGCGGGTTCTGGCGGCTCAGCGCAGTTTGCTCTTGGAAGAAGGAGTCTTGTGATAGGCTTTCAGAGCGAGGATTATGCTATTCGGGGAGCTGGACCATACTGAGTCGTAAAAGCTAATACTGAGCAGGCATTTTTGTGTGTGTGCCTGTGAAGCCACTTGTCATCGGCTATACAATCGATCACGTTAATGTTGAATTGGCACCATCTTCCTTGTGTTCTGATCATCCGAATCTATATTGTAAGGCTGTACTTGCTTTTCTGAAAGCATATATCCAGTTTTAAGAACTACACGTGATTTTGTCAAAAAAGTGCACAGTAAGTCATCTTTTTTTTTGCCTTACCTAAACCGAACCTCCTCTTTAATATACGTAGTGAACATATATACACACGTGTCAGTTATTTTAAATTCCTGTTGCCATGTCAATGCTACAAAGCCCCTTCAATAACCTCAGTGATGCTTACAATACTGAAGTATTGTTTCTGAACTATCCTTCAGAACAAGCCTCTGAAAACGTTGTACCAGGTGAGGATGGTGAAACAGAATACTTGAGACTATGTCTAATTTTTTTTAACATTTAGTAGACATATCAATCTGTGAGAAGGGGCTAATGAACACCTCCCTTTCTAAATGTAGCTACCAAAGGCAGAAACAATTAAAACACAACTTTGAAAGTAGAGGCACACATTGATTATATTGCTCTAATTCTCTCCTATGCATTCCTTTCTAGGCTACTTCAGTGGAAGTATTTTCATTAGTTACGAGAAAAATGACTACTCTTAAAAGTTTAGAAACCAAAGGTAAGTGTTCGTATTTTAATGATGATTGTTTTTATGGTATGAAATTTTTCATAAAAAGGAGTGTTTTAGCCACGTAATTAAATCACATAGTTTCCTTAAGAATCATTTGTTTCTGGTCTCTTCTTGTTTATTTTGTAGTGCAAAATTTACATTTCATTATTCTTACACAGTTGAGTATTACTATCATTAGAATGTATTTTTTAGATACCTAATCATTTTTCAACATGTAGGGTAAAAAGTTTTACATCTGTATTCCATATCCAGGAGGAGATTAAGATTTAAATAAATGTGAATAAAAAAATGTGAAGATTTAAATAGATGAACAAGTAACTAACAGATATCAAAGGCATGTATATCAATGTATTCCAGTGCTGGGGCTACTGTAACGAAATACCTCAAATTGTGTGGCTTAAACAACAGATTCTTACTACCTCACAGGTCTGAGGACTAGAAATCTGATATCAAAAAAAGTACCAGCAAGGCCACACTCCCTCTAAAGACACTAGGAATGATCTAGACCTATTCCTAGCTTCTGATTTGCTGGCAGTTTTGGTGCTTCTTAGCTTTTAAGTGAACTACACCTGATCCACATCTTCATGTTCACATGACATTCTCCTTGTGTGTATGTTTATTTTAATCCAACTTTCTCCTCATTATAAGAAAGAGCAGTCATGACAGTTAATGCTATCGAGTCTTAAATTAATTCATCTTAACTACTTAAATTCGTAGTAAAGGTCTTGTTCTGAAGCACTAGAGGTTATAACTTGAACACAATGACTGCTTGGGCGAACAGTTCCACCCATAGCTCGGTATGTACAGCAGCCACCTGTTTTCGTTGTCTTTTCTTTAATATTTAATACTATTGTCATTCTCTACCTTTTGAAAATCTTTCCATGACGTCCGTGGCATCACTTTTCTTTCAGCTTACTCTATAGTTCTTTGCATTCTAACCTGCTACCAAACACATGCGGTATTTGAATTTAAATTAATGTTTTTTGGATATGGTCTCCCTGTAACCCCAGCTGGCCAGGAAGTCTCTATAGGGACTAGGCTGACCTCTGTCTCAAAGATCCACTTGCCTCCGGCGTGTTGGGATTAAAGGCATGCGCCACCATACCCAGCATTTAAACTAGCATGTTTTTTTAAAAACTAAGAACTGTCTACACTTCCAACTATTCAATAACAAAATGTGTTAGTTAACTATCCTATTTCTTTTGGACAGTACTGCTTTAGCTTTGTTTCTTTTTCAGTCTCCCCTGTCTTTCCTGATCTATAGCGTCAGTAATTAATTACTCATAGCAACCACTTGAAAATCTTTCAGTAGCCTAGATCTCTTTTCTTTCAGTTCAGACCTTATAGCCTACTTTCATCTTCTCTTACATACAGGAATCAGTTAGCGTGTCCCAGGTAAGCACCTCCTGACTTAGCTTATTCTTTGAGCACTGTGAGTTCTGCTGGCAAGGATTCTCTAAACATGAACTTTGTAGGAAGCAGATTTCTAGCAGTGCTTGCTCTTTAAAAAGGGACTGAAATATGTTTAGGAAGCAAGCAGGAAAGACCATGTTAATAGATGACAAATTTAATATAGTTGTACACAGCAGCATTTTGTGTCATTAGAAAGGTTTTATAGTATTAGAACAAGCAAATCAGAGACTGACAATAAGTAATAAACTAGGAATGAATGGCAAATGAGAGGAATTAAATGACACTTTGTGTCAAAGCAGCAAATATGGCACTTGGCAAAAACCAAAACCAGATATAGTATTATCATTAGTGATTAAAAGTTTGCTATGAAAGGCCTCTGAGGAATTAAATTATTTTTGTTATTGTTTATAATAAGGATTAGAATTATAAGCACTTTCACATAATTTCATTTTATCTTGATTATCCAGTAAGGCCGATAATCCAATTGTAGTCTATATTCATAATATAGTGTAACTACTGTTAGTGAACAAAAGATGTTTGTACTTTCATGGCCTGAGGAAAAGAATACGTGTATTTGATATTGTCAGTGGTCTGCATTTCCTATAACTTCCTCAGAAAAGAAACATGATTGTTTCATATAGCAACAGAACAGCTTCTCAGACTAGGAACAGTACTGCTATCGTATGGTTGTTCTCAAAGGGAAACACAGAATAAATAATATAATTGGATAATTAAAATGAATACAAAGTTTTCTAGGATACAAGGTTAAAAATTTATCTATTAGAATTAGGTTCATTAAAAATAGACCAAATAGTAAGGTCTGAGATATTTAAATAGTTCTGAGTCCATAAAATAATCTGACATTAACACTAATTCTATAGGGTTATAAAGAATAGTTGAAAAATGAACAAATAAGTTGAAAATTCTGAGTAGTAGGTTATACTGCCAGACTCCTTAGAGTTGTTAGAATACTAACATGTTCTGTGAAATTCCAAAATAGATGCATTATATAGAATTGCTCACATGTATTTGACCATGAAACTCTTGTCCAGAGGTTATAGAAAGAAGGCCTAGATATCACTTTAATAAATGTTGAACTAACTTCTAACTTTATTTTCTATAGCATATGTTTCTAATGTAATAACTAAACTTTATTAGGTGATATTGGTGACACTGAAAAGAACATTAATGCTGAACCTGATGGTACAGGCCTCTAATCTCAGCTACTTGGGAGACTGAGACAGGAGGATCACAAGTTCAAAGGCTGCTTGACTATGGTGAGCTGAAGGCTAGCATTGGTAATTTGGTGAGATCATGTCTCAAAATAAAATGTGAAAAGAGCTGGGAATACAGTTCACTGGTAGGGTAGAATGCTTGCCCCGTGCACTGGGACATATATTCAGTCCCCAGTGCTGAAACAAAAAACGACTAGGCACATGCCTTTAATCCCAGCACTCAGGAGGAAGAGGCAGTTGGATCTCTGTGAGAGCAAGGCCAGCCTGGTCTACATAGTTCCAGGCAGGCTGGTGCTAGGGAGACCCTGTCAAAAAGAAAAAAAAACCAAAGCAACAAAGAAAAAGAATATTATTAAATATAGTGGAGCTTGGAATTAATGATTAAATGTAGAGAGGAAATAGGTTGTTTTTAAAGATCAGTCACTATAGAGATAGCTTAGTAGTTAAGAGCATTGGCTGCTCTTGCAGAGGATCCAGGTGTGGTTCCCAAAACCCACGTGGTGGCTAACAACTGTTTCTAACTCCCGTTCTAGCGGATCCGACTCCCTCTTCTGACTTCCATGAGCATTATACATCACAGGTGCACTTACACGCAAGCAATACACACATACACATAAAGTTAAATAATAATGATTAAAAATTAGTCACTAAGTGTTTAAATGAAACTTAGGTATATGTTAACACATTGATAACCTTCACTGAGCATTTTCTTCACTTTTTTTAGATCTCATCCCCTATCTGCATCTTCCTCCATTGCCCTCTGCCCAATTTAATGCAACATACACATACACACACACACATATATATGTGTGTATAAATATAATATGGCCAATAGAGTCTTATTTGTGTCCTCAAATGTTCTTCAGTGTGGGTCCATCTACTGGGCCCACCAAGCATCCCATCCTTGTAAGACCCTGTCTCTCCCCGTCCCAGCAGCCGTCAGTTACCAAAAGTTCCTTAGGTTCTTACCCACTTCCTCATGACTGTATTGGGATCTGTCTGCTTTGAGCTTGCATGGTGTCACTTGTGCATGCTGTCACTATTGCTGAGACTTCATATGAGTAACCAATCATGTCTGGAAGGCTCTGTTTCCTGTGGTCATCCACCCCCTCTGACTCTTAACAGTCTTTCTGCTTACTCTCCCGCGATGATCCCTGACTCTTGAAGGCAGAGGTTTGATACAGCATCCCACTCTGCGCCCGCTTGTTCTCTGTACGTTGGCCAATTGTGGCTTTCTGTGTCAATCACCATATGCTACAGTAAGGAAGCTTCTCTGCTGAGAGTTGAGAGATGTATTTGTTCTATGTGTAGAGGTTACATTGAGGAGAGCATTTATTCACTTTTTGCTGTGCCAAGCACATTTCCTTAGATGATAATGCAAAGTAGGAGGTGTCGCCAACCTACGTAGCTTCCAGCAGTCTAGTCTGCAAGAGAAACAATTTTGTCTAGCATGGTCATATAGTATTTACATTATTCTGAGAGCCCCAAGTGACAGGAGGAAGGCAAAGTTTAATGATTTGTCTAAGGTTCATCCTGAATGGCAGTAGGGACTTAATATTATTTTGAATCATGAGTTTGATGTTCTGCCCACTACTTTGTCATGCTGACTTTTGGTGCCTGTCTCCATAGATTTACTGTGTTATTAATAAATTATTATTAAGAAAGGAAATACTTGCTCAATGATAGCCTATGAAATTATAGCATTTCTCTTTCTGTAAGTTAGAACAAGGATTGATAAAGTGTGGCCCTCAGGTGTCCTGAAACTGTTTTCAAACAGTTTGATAATGCGAACAGTGACTGAATCCCATACAAATCCATTGTTACCCAGAAGAAGAAAGAATTCTGCTTTTTACATATGCTACATTACCAAAAATGTTTTCATCAATTTAAAAAAAGTGTGTCTTCTTATATTAAGTATCTAGCAACTATCCCTAATTTTACCTCATTATCCTAAAAACTTGAAATATTTACTGCTTGGCCCTTTACAGAAAAAGTTTGCCAACCCCTATCTAGAATGTTAGGCTAGTGGCTTTGTTGTTTCTTACAGCAGTCCATGGGAAAGTCAATATAAATAAGCCATAAACCTTAGATATGTTTTAATTTATTGGCAAGTGGTCACAGGTGGAAGTCAGTTTGACTAGTGTAAGGATTGCTGCTTCGCCTCCAAGAGTGAAGAATCAGGAGAATTGGAGTTTTGCATTCCTCAGCATCACTCAGCAATATGGAGCTGGTACCTCCCTCTTGAAAGGAGTTAATCATTCATGAATGTGCCCTGGATTGCCCAGCACAGATGTAATAAAGGTTTCTACACTGTGTCACAGGGAAAAATGGAATTATGAAAGGTAAGCTACTGAGTGAGAAAATGCAAATGCCCTAGCTCTGCCTGCTCTCCCACACATTAGCAAGACCTGATCAGCTGTTCCTGAGAGAGCTTTCATCATAACAACAGCTTGATATCACTCACATCCCAATACCTTGCTGCATACCTAGGAAAAATTAGAACAAAAGAAATCTATTAAATGAAATGTGTCTTATATTCCAGTGATACAATTTTAACGCTAGCGTAAAGAATGGAAATTGCAATCTATTTTATAATATTAAGCAAACTTTCTCTCTCTTACCAATATCAGAAGTTTATTAGATTCTATAAAATAATTGGCCATTACATGTAATGAATGCTTGCTCTGTCTAATGCCATTCTGAACACCTCACTTGTATTCTTACTTTTAATTATTGTATTAAATGTTAAGTATTGAGTATGCAAAAAAGGAAAAACCTTCAAGGTACAAGAAATAGGTCTATTGATTAGTGGAGTGATTTTGAAAGGCTGTTTAACAATACAGATCTTCACCAGATCCATAAATTCTATGCTTGCAAATTTATTTGATTTGTTTTGGTTTGGTTTTGTGGTGCTAGAAATCCAGCCCTAGGCCTCACATACACTTTCACTGTTTGTTTTTTTAATTCTTTGGGGGTTTTGTTTTTTTGTTTTTGCTTTTGAGACAGGTTCTCCTTATAATCATTGGCTAGCTTTAAACTCATTATCCTGCTTCAAACTCCCAGGTGCTGGGATTATAGGCATGTACCATTGCACCCAGCTGGAAGTTTATTTGAAATAATTCAAAAGTTCAGAAAATGTGTGGACATGAAACTATTTGTTAGTATATCATAATAAGGTCTAAGTAGAGTGGTGACTAGGTAAATAATGCTACCTTTTAAAAATATATTTTATATATATTTTTTTTTACATGTATGAGTATATTGCCTGCATGTATGTAAGTGCACCTGTGTTGTGCAGTACCCATGGAGGTCAGAAGAAAGCATTGAATTCCCCTGGAACTAGAACTGGAGTTACAAATGGTTGTTAGCCGCCATGTGGGTGCTGGGAATTGAACCTGGGTTCACTGCAAGAGCAGCCAGTGGTCTTAACCACCGAGCCATCTCTCCAGTCACCAGTGATGCTATCTTAACATAAAGGAATATAAAATATATATTTTATACATAAAATTTAAAAAATAAAGACTGTAGCAAAACAGAAAAGTATATCACTAAGGGTACAAAATTTATTATGATTATATATGTATGAAAATGCTGAAATTAAATAATGAGACGTTATAGAGGGATAAGGATATAGAGATATGTTGTCAATTTCTTTTGATAACAGAAAAACAGTAGTGGAAACCAAAGAGAATATTACTGTAGATGATCTGTTTTGCTTCTAGTGTTTGTATTTATATAATGAATTTTGGAAGTGGAATAAAAATACAGTCAGAGAAGAATAAAACCCTTACAACCCTGAGGAAGGATTCTTTTACACAATTTCTTTTACTGCAGACTACCTTGGCTGTACCTTTTTCATAGTCAGCTTTCCTCCTGTTACCCTGAGCAAGCTAACATTTCTGTGGTGCTTTGGCAGAATTCCAATTCTAGGGCCAGAATATAATCACTATTTTAAATAAAGCTTTATGTATCCAAAGCTCTTAAGAAACTTTTAACTTTAATAAGACTTATCACTCTTACCAAATTGATAAATTCCAACTGAATCATTAGAATGAAACATGATTAGTGTTTGGTGCATTTAGGTTATGATTTTTAGTTTATTGGCAACAAGGAATATAGGTTAACTTTTTTTCTTTTTTAAAAATTTAAGGTATTTTTATGTGTATGGTTGTTTTGCCTGCATGTATGTAAGTGAACCCATTCGTGCAATGCCCATGGATGCCAGAAGAGGGCATCGGATCCCCTGGAACTGGAGTTAAAGATGACTGTTAGCTGCCATGTGGGTTCTGGGAAACAAATCCAGGTCCTCTGGAAGAGCAGCCAGTGCTCTTAACTGCTGAACCATCTCTCTAACTCCACATTAGCTTTTCTTTTTTTGCCTAGAACTTGCTATGTAGGCTAACTTTGATCTCACAGAGGGGTACCTGCCTCTGCCTCGTGAGTGCTGGGGCTAAAGGGGTGCACCACCATACCTGGCTCGTATTAACTTTTCTTAAATTAAGAACTTTTGTTTCAGATTTTTGTCTTAGGCTATTGCATTATTTACAAATATATGTGTATGTGTATTTTGTGTGTATGTTCACACACATGATTTGGTTATGCTAATGAACTTACCAATCATTATATGTGTTGTGCATTGCCTGTGGAGGTCAGAAGGGAGCATCGGATCCCCTGGAACTGGAGTTACAGATGGTTGTTAACCACCATGTGGGTGCTGGGATCTAAACCCAAGTCCTTGGCAAGAGTAGCCAGTGCTATTAACCACTGAGCCATCTCTCCAACTCTTGTGTATTAAAATTTTTTATATCATTTATTTCTGTTTACTATACATTATACTTCAAAATGTCTTTTTATTATTTTCATGGTGTAGGCAGTTGAACCAGGACTTTGTGCATATTAAGCATGTGCTCTGCCACTAAACTACACTTCTGTCCCCCATTTTGTCTTTTTTATATACATTCCCTATCTTCTAATACGTTTTTTAAGCATCATGGTCCACACTGCCTCTCAGAATGTCCTAGATTACTCACCTGGCACCATGCTTGCTGTCTATGACCTCTTGTAGTTTATCATTCCAACCCCAGTCAGTGTCCTGTGTCCTGGTCCTTCCTCCTCATTATCCTTACATCGTGAGTTTATTGTTCTTCCTATACTGCTGATGGTGCATACAAGGCACTTTCCTAGGAAAATAATGCACATAAAACAAGTTGAAAGCCACTACAGAGCATAGGATACCACGAAGATAATGTCGATATGGTACAGGTGAGGCCTCAGGAAGTTTAGTCTGACAACATAGTGTAGTTTTACAGGTTCAATTGGGATTTAACTTGTAGGTATAAGAATAAAATTGAATCTTTTCCTAATCAGTTCTCCAGTGTAACATACATAATGTTCTCTCCTACCCTTATGTAAACAGATGAATCTATTTTGAAGTATGTAGTTTCAAATATTTGTATATATAGCTGATAACTTATGTTTTATTTAACATTATTGTCTATTCTGTGCCAGGACTTGATGCTATTACATTCCTTCTCATCACAGTCATTTCATGTGGTTATTAGTATTTCCATTTTACTTACCTGGATATAGAAATTAATGGAAGATTAAGATATTTACCTAGGATCATATTAAGAAAGAGAAGTCAGAAACAGATTCTCCTGGATTTTCTTCCAAGAGAGAAGCCATTTACCTAAGGAAATTTCAAGCCAACAAGATTTTATTCATCTTTTGTTGACAACTGATTGTTTTAGAAATTAACTTTCTCTGAGTTATCCTTTTCCATTCCTTTTTGTATTAATAGTTTTAAACATGGGGCAAAGCAGTCTTGGCATTTTCTTAACATTTCTTTTGGTAAGTAGTTCCTGTTTTGTCTTTTCTTTGTTAGTCACCCTGACTCCAACCCCAATCCGAGGAGCAGGAGATGGAATGGAAACTGAGGAGCCCCCTAAGTCTGTTGAAGTCACCTCTGGAGTCCCGCCCATAAAGCAACGTGTTCTTCAGAGTCCACGGAAGAAAGTTCCCTCAGACAGCCCAGGAGTTCTTCAGCTAGGGAAGATTCTTACTGAAAAAGCAGTGGAAGTTGAAGCTGTGAGAATATTTGTTCCCAAAGCTGCTATCACTCATGATATCCCCAGCAAAAATGTAAAGGTTAAGTCTCTGGGCTGTCATAAAGGCGAGCTCAGTCAGTCAGAGGGAGTTCCAGAACCTAGGAAGGAACTCTCAGAAGTAAAGAATGTTTTGGAAAAGCTTAGGAATTCTGAAAGAAGGTTACTTCAGGACAAAGAAGGCCTTTCAAACCAGCTCAGAGTACAGACAGAGGTAAGAGCCTTCATAGCTTCAACAAATTCTGTCAACACCTGGACCTTTAATCCCATGTGTTAGAAAACCACATTTCCTTGTGGGAATGTCATTTATCATAAGTTGACATTTCTCTAAAATACTCCCTCTTAAATATCTCATTCTGTCTTAGAGCCTCTAGGAAGATTTTATATTGGAAACTTATGCTCTAAACCTGGTGGAAGTCAAGGTGCTAAAGACAAGACCACCTGTATGTTATAGAAGTGGGTCACATAACCAAATCAGGCTTTGAAACTGGCAAGTTAGCGGTCCTTATTTTAAAAAGCCATTCCAAGTATTTTTGCCTTTGTATATGTACTTGGGGAGGGGGAAAGAACAGTGGTGAAATAAGTTATTATTTTGTCTTCATTACAAATGACTAAGGATCTATAGTGTTCGATTGTATTGCTTTAACTTTTGCATATTAGTAAAACTGCCACTTACATAGCAAACTCTTTAACCACTGAGCCATGTACTTGGCCCAGGACTGTACATCCTTTGAAAAATGACATTTGTGACACCATGGTTAGTGATTCTTATCCAAAAGCTTTGAAATAAATTTAATGATATATTTTAATATATCTTTAATCTCTGTACAAATTGTTGCATATTTATTTGTAAACATTTTAGAAAATTTAGAAAGAGGAGGAGGAGGACTGGGAAGATGGCTAAGGGAGTAAAAACTCTTGCTACGCAAACATGAGGGCCTGAATTCAGATCCCTAGCATCCATATAGAAAGCCTGGCATATGACCATGCACACCTCTAACCTCAGTGCAGAGATGAGCTTGCTGACCTCCAACCAAGCTGCAGTTTCAGTGAGAAACCCTACCTCAGGGAAATAAGGCAGAGAGTGATAGGGACACCTAATGTCTCCCTCCCTCTGGCTTCCACACATGTATGCGCATGCACACATGCACATACACCACATACAAATACAGAAAAAAAATTTTAAAAAAGCAAAAAATTCAAAAGGGCACAATAAAAATACTGTTACCTATGATTACACTGTCCAAATATAACTGCATAACTATCCGTATTGGATTCATTTTGTTTTATTACCATTTATTTCAATTATTAATGTTTTCCCATATCATTGCATTATTTTACAGTGTTCTTCTATACTATACCATACACTAATACCAGTTTGGGGACATTAGTTGGGAGTACTTACAGATAGCCTGATTTCTTTTCTTAAATTCTTTTTTTTTTTTGGTCTTTTTGAGACAGGGTCTCCCTGTAGCCCCAGCTAGCCTGGAACTTGCTATGTAGACCCGGCTGGACTTGAACTCACAGAGATCCGCCTGCTTCCGCCTCCCAAGTGCTGGGATTAAAGGCATGCACCACCATGCCTGGTGACTTTTCTTAAATTCTTAAAAGTAAAGATCCTGTGATAGAGATTAATCTATAAATCTTGAAAGAAAAAGTACATCAAGCATTCTGTCATAGTTTTTTACTTCTTAATTTTTTTTTATTTTTTCCTTTTTTAAATGTTGCCTGGGAGTATTTTTATGTTATTGATTTGTTCTCTTATTACAGAGACCCCACTTAAATCATGTTTGTAGATAGAGATAAAATGTATATGCCATACAACCATTATTTAATATCACTTTTGATACACACTTTAATGGTGATCTAAATAACACAGTTCTTTTTTTCATGTATTTTGTTACATTAAAGTCAGTAACGTTTCCTCCACTTATCCTCTTAGTGGTATTCTTTCATTCTAGGTAAATCGTGAGTTAAAAAAGTTGCTGGTCGCTTCAGTTGGAGATGATCTTCAGTATCACTTTGAACGTCTAGCCCGGGAAAAGAATCAGCTTATTTTAGAAAATGAAGCCCTGGCTCGAAACACCGCTCAGCTTTCTGAACAGCTAGAACGTATGTCAATACAGTGTGATGTGTGGAGAAGTAAATTCCTTGCAAGCAGGTATTTTTCTATTGTAAATAGTATTTCCTTTCATACTGTTTATTCTGTCTGTCAGGTTTTTGACTCATAATACAAAGCAATAGTATGAAAATCTCTTAAGATCATCAGTCACACAGTTTCTCTTAATGAAGTGATGGAACAGCCCTCTTTCATTCTGGAAATCACTCCTACTACAACAGTGTTTAAAACCAAAACAAAACTGAATTCAAGCATCTGAAATATTAAAGTCACAAAAGGCAAAACTAGGCCCTCCCCTATACCTCCTACTGGAGAACATAGGCATCGTTCCTGCTTCATAGGACAGTGCTGTCACCAACGTGCTCTGTTCTCATAGCACTTTCATCTGTCTAATAGAGCTGCTCAACCTTCTCCCTGCACATAATCGGAAAACCATCATTTTATGACATATTCCTTGGGCCTACTCTCTGACCTATGTGCTAAAAAGCACAAGGCCCTAATCAAGGCCTTCGAACACACGGGATTGGGAAACAGCTATGTATCATGATTTCTTGTCTATTTGTCCCCTCCTTCTCTCAGCTATTGAGTAAACAGGGACAAGTCCTGGATGTTAATCTATCTGTTTAGCAACAGGACTTCATATTGAATCTGTTTAATAACTACATTAAATTGAATCATCTGGAGATTTCTCACAGAACACTCAAGGTTACTCTTAAGCTTAGAAAAGCTTTGCTTTGTATACTAATATCTAGGCTAGTTTCTAGTAGTTGCATACAATAAAGCCCTTCATTTATCTAGTTAAAAGCGGGGTATAGAAAACTTTGAATTGAATGATTCCTTTTTATAAATACATCCCATGTATTTTTTCTATACACTATTATGTTAGAATATACTTAAGTCCTCTCCTTGGAACTTTGTTAGCTTCATTTGATCTTAGCCACAATAAATTTTACTGGTTTTATATAAAGGAAGAAGGGGGCATGCTGGGCAGAAGGAAAGACTATTTTCCTTTTTGAGAAGGTTTTCAACATCAGTATTTTTCTGTAATTGAGTGGTAGGAAAAATAACTTGGTTTTTGCTTTCCCTTTCAAATTTTTTTGTATTTAAAAGCATTACATAATTTTAAATTGATCAATTTAGAGTAGCATTGGTATAAATTCAAAAGTCGCTAGATAGAAAAGTTAAATATTTGTTTTCTATCAGTTAATAAATATTTTGGCTGAGTTCAGTTAACCAAGCTCTCCATGTTAAAGATTTTTCAGTTAAAATTTGAAAACTAGCTGGGCATGGTGGCTCACACCTTTAATCCCAGCACTCGGGAGGCAGAGGCAGGTGGATCTCTGTGAGTTCAAGGCCAGCCTGGTCTACATAGTGAGTTCCAGGACAGCTGGGGCTGCAGGGAGACCCTGTCTCAAAAAGACAAAAAAAAATTGAAAACTACAAAGCAGTTAAATCTGTTAGTGTTTTGTTTTGTTTTTTTAAATGTGTATTCCCTACAGGTAAGTAAGTGCACCTGTGTCATGCAGTGCCTGCAGATCAGAAGAGGCTGTCGGATCCCCTGGGACTGGAGTTACAGACAGTTGTTAGCTGCCATGTGGGTGCTGGGATTCAAACCTGGGTCTTCTGCAAGAACAACCAGTGTTCTTAACCACTGAGCCATCTCTCCAGCCCATTTGTTAGCTTTTGAAAATTTCAATCCCAAAGTAGTGTATTAACTTGTGTATTTTGTGTTATTGTCAGAAAATTTGTATGTGAAATTTTCATCTTTTTCAGGGTAATGGCAGATGAATTAACTAACTCCAGAGCAGTTTTACAGCGTCAGAACCGAAATGCCCAAAGTGCTATACAAGATCTCCTGAGCGAACGCGAGCAGTTTCGTCAGGAAATGATGGCCACCCAGAAGTATGGCACTTGTTTACATTCTGAACTCTTCTGGCTTCTCCTGCATTCTTGCTACTGTGAAAGGCTCTGTGTGTGTATGTGTGTGTGTGTGTGTGTGTGTGCGCGCGCGTGCTCATTTGCCACTATGTTGAACGTATACACTTTAAAATAGATGGCTTGAGATAAAGAACCCTAAAAATATAGAGGAGAAGAGAAGGTATTTCTGTATTTAAAAACAGTTCTTGGTTATGGCTTGTTTATACTTTTGTCTGGTTTTGGTAGGAGCCAAGTGCTGTACTTATTTTTCCTATGGAAGAACTTGTGAAGCTTTTTACATTAGCGCTTCCTTTCATATCTACATTCTAGACCTAACAAGCTGATAGTCAAAAAAAAAAGGCAATGTTCCTTAAAAGGTTTTTTTTACTTTTGTATAGTTAAATTATTACCAATAAATTATATGAGGAATCAGAAGAATAAAGGAAATGCTTGTTTGGGCTGGTCATAGTGGTGCACACCTGAAATCCCAGCACTCAGGATGCCAAGGCAGGTGATTCATGAATTCCAAACCAGTCTGAGCAGTGTAGTGAGATTCTGTCTTCAAAACAAAGGGCTTATTTAGGGAAATAGGAAAGGTCTCATTAATAGTTAAGGTTCCTTCAAGAAATATGAAAAGCAAATTAAACCCAAATTAAGCAGAAGAAAAAAAAGAATATTAAAGATCAGAGTTAAAATAATTTTAAATGATATATTTTTAAAAGACAAACTTATGAAATGTCTAACCAGTTTAATGAGGAAATGCAATGCACAAAAGTATCACAAATGAAATGTGGGCACAGTAGGTTGAATAGACATAGCAAACAAAACTAAGGAATGTTACAACTCTGGCCAGTAAATTCAATGACACAGATGGCAGATCATACTCCTTAGAAGACAAATTACCAAAGGTTACTCAAGAACAGATGTATAAGCTCAATAGCCCTAGCCTATTAAAGCAATTGAACTTGTTAAAAACCATCTCATGAAGGAAATTGTGATCTATCTGGATTTCACTGAGCACTATCTAAGGAAGAAAGAAAAGCAATTTTACCCAAATTTTTTTAGAGCTCAGAGGGAAAAGGAATCTTTTTTTTTTTTTTTTTTTTTTTTGAGGCCAGCATTATCTTGGTATAAACCTGAGATAATTCCAAGACTACAGACATATTTTCAATAGAATTTTAGTGAATCAAATCTAACAATACAGAAAATGCTTTGTACGTTATAATCAAGTAGGGTTAATTCCAGGCGGTGTAGGTTCACTTAGCATCCAGATATCAGTGAGGGCAAACACTGTGAAATGCACAGTATCAGTAATTTCTGTACTACAATATGCTTGTATCACAGTGTTCTCTTTGTTAGATGATTTCTTGGTAACAGCCAGGTAGTTGTTGTCTAACTTCATATATGACTAGATGCCCTGATTCCTTGAACTTAGAATTTGAGAAGTATGCTGCTCAATTATTACTCTTAAAGGTTTTATATTTTGTCTTCTTACTGGTTTTCACTGTTCATATGTGTTCTATGCAGGTTTTTGGAGGAGCTCTTAGTCTCCTTACAGTGGGGAAGAGAGCAGACGTACTCACCCAGCACACAGCCCCACAGCACGGCGGAGCTAGCACTGACAAATCACAAGTTGGCAAAAGCAGTAAGTGCTCATCTTCTGGGAAATGTTGACATTAGCAGTCAAAAGAAGATTCCAGCAGCAGTTGAATTCTGCAGCACTCCGGCCGAGAAAATGGCTGAAAAGGTAACGTATTTTCTCTTTCATGATCTGTGGAACTGTTTTATGAGCTGTGAGCTTTTATTATTCCATTACTTAAAAGGGACATATTTTACTTGGCATGGGGAGTTTTGAAATGTAGAACCTAAACTTGTTTCTTACGTCAGTAAGCTTTTGATCTTAGAGGAAATTCCTCCTCTGACCCTTAAATTTCTCTAACATTACTACTCTATTCTAAGAAAAATCCAATTGTTTTGAAAGATTAATTTTTTTTTTTAGCTAACATATAATTGATCATTCTGTGTATTCATTTTCTTATAAAACCACTGTGAAGAATTTTTAATTTAACAATCATTAGTAATTTAAATAGGTTACTTTTGAGCTAAGAAATTATTTGATTCCCACATATACACAGGACTGTGCTGAGTACTACAGAATCAAGGAAAACAGACCAACTAGTTACAGTCCTAGACAAATTTGGGACCCGTATAGGTAAAAGCTAGGGAAACACACCTGAAAGTGCCTTTGAATAAGCCATAATTATATAAGGAAGGGAAGTGGCACCCTTTGTTTCTTTAAGGATTTCTTTCCAATTGCAGTGCTTATCTCCTTTGAAATACAACTCTTCATCATGTGACGATTATTTTGAGAATTTGTACATGAGAAATAAGAGCTATGAACCAAAAAGGTTATTTGTTCAACTTGAGACATCCTGTTTTGAGCCTCAGCAAAGGAAACAGAATAGAAAAAGCCAGAACAGAGGAAGAAAAGCGAGAACACAGTATTGTGAATGTGCTTGTTAGCATAAAATATTATGTCATTCAAGAAAGAGACGTTAAGGGCCATTTCTTTTACCATAAATAAAAAATGATCCAACACTTTGAATAGCCTTTCCACAGAAGAATGAGGGCAGAATCCTCCTTCTAAGCAGTTGAATGAAAGGTAGGAGGGAGGTTGTGGATGCTTTTGGTTAAAAATAAAAATTGACATAGGAGAGAATTCACATGACCTCATTTTTCTGTTTTTATTCCTTCTATCAGTATCCGCAAAAGAACGTTTGTTTCATCATTACTAAAATACAGGTAGGCTAGGGTAATGTTGTAACTAAGCATCATTGGTAAATTTATAGCATTTTGGAAAAAGTGATAAATTCTCTCATTCCTCATTCAAATATTTGTAATGATCACTCCATAGTCACATGAAACTTCATACATAGTTAGACATCTGTGAAACCAAAAGCCTTGACAGCCCACCCTCCATCTGATGCCACCTCTCATTTTTCTTAGGTTCTACATATTTTGGATCCAGTTACCTGTACAGAAAGTTCGCCTGATAACCCATTTTCTGAATCTTCACCAACCACTTTACTTGCTGCAAAGAAAAATATTGGACGTTTCCATCCCTATACAAGATATGAAAATATAACTTTTAATTGCTGCAATCATTGCCAGGGAGAACTTATTGCTCTTTAATATTCACTGTGTTGGAGGCATGCTTATTACCCAAGTCATTATTATTTGGGAGCCAGGGTTCTTATAATTCTAGAAATAAAATCAGTTCATCTTTATATGTTATATATCCACAAAAATATTTCATGTGCTGGATTCTAGATTATTTTTTCTTAATAAATATCTCAGGGTTAAAAAAAATGAGTAGATATATTAAAGTAGAAAATATTTCCTTGGCAATACACAATGTTTATGCTGAAAGACTAAGATTTTATAACTACTTTTGGTCTTAAATTATTTCTCTTTTATATAGAGATTTCATTTTGGTGCATTAAAAAAACAACAGCTACAAAAATTAGGCAGACTACAACCACAAGTTCCTGGTTCTGAGCATCTATTTATTTTACTGTTATCTAAGCTGCTTTTGCTCTACAGCAAGAGTTCAGTATATGGCTAACAGCCCATTCCTTTATCAAACAAGTTTTCTGAGTCTTATTATAATGTAATAACTGGGTGTATAGGAAAAGGGGATTTGCATTCCTTTTATGGTCACATTTGGAATACAAAGAGACTTTCAAGAACACTGGCTAGCTGGTATGGTAGTGGTAGCTTATGCCTTTAATCCCAGCACTCAGGAGGCAGAGGCAGACAGATTTCTGTGAATTTGAGGCCAACCAGGGCTACATAGTAAGACCCTGTCTCAAACAAAACAAAACAACAAAACACTAAGGTAAAAAGATTAATCTTTTTAAACTAACATATATTAGTAAAAAATATATATTTTACAGCCACAACAAATACTTCAAGGTATTCTATATTCTAAATGGATGCAATTCAACATATATAAAAGAAACTGATTCAAAACTACTGGTTCATTTGGCACATTCAACACAACAGGAATATCTGTTTTGATACAGTATATGGTAGGGAAATGAGTTTCTAGAACATTTAGGAAAAGATTCATCAATTTATATGTATGTATATTTTGTAATATACTGTTATGTATTATAAGATGCCCTTTTATTGGCCTTTGAAAGTACTTAAAAAATTTGACATCTTCAAAATATATACCAAGTTATACAGGCTAGTTGAAGCAGGGCCTATCAGAGAAACTTTCAAAGGGCAAATCTGATCAAATAAAAATACACTTTAGTGTCATTGTAATGGATTTTTTTGTTTTGTCTGACTTATCTGAATTATATTTATAATTAGAAATAAATTTCTCAACTTTCTTACTGTGGACGTTCCCTTTTCTTTCCAGAACAGTGTGCTTTGTCCCTAATCCTCATATGGCTTTTACTATTTACAATTGATTCTTTGTTCTTTCTCTTAGATTTGCATAGTCTAAAACTCTTAGAAGAAAACGGGGAAATCTTTATGTCATTGGATTTGACATTGATCTCTTAGATATCACACTAAAAGCACAGGAAATTTTTTAAAAATTAAGCTTCATCCTAATTTAAAACTTCCATATAACTGAAAAATGTCTAGACTACATGAAGAACTACAACTCAATAACCAAAAACTACCTAGTACAAAATTGGCAGGGGGTGAGAGGTGCCTGTGTCTGTAGACACCTACCACACAAATGAGGACCTGAGTTCAGATCTCAGCACCCACATAGGAGTTGGGTGCAGCAGTGCACATCTGTAACCCTATGGGAGCAGACAGGTGAACCCTGGAACCCCTTGACCTCAGTGACACAATTCAGCTTAGCCAAATTAATGAGCTCCCTGGTTCAATGAAAGATCCTGACAAAAAGTAAGATGGAGCATGTGATGGTTTGAATGAATATGTCCCCTATAAGCTCCAAGTATTTGGACATTTTTGTCCACACATGGTGGCGCTGATTTGGGAGGTTTTAGAAGGTATGGCTATCCTGGAGGAAGCACGTTACTAGGGGTGGCCTTAGAGAGTTCTTAAGCCTTGCCAGATCTCCAGTCGCTCTCTTGCTTCCTGTGCCTGCATGATGTGAGAGCTTACCTTCTGCTGCTTCTGCTCCAGTCACCTCCAGCCACTATACCTCTATGCTGTGGCGGATTGTAATTCCCCTGAACCATAAGCTCGGATAAACTCTTCCTTCTATAAATTGCTTGGGTCAGTGTTTCTATCACAGCAACAGAAAAGTGACTAATACAGTGAAAAAGAAAATGGGTCAGAAAGAAATACAGAATGTACAGGATGGATTGAAAAAGAGCACTAGAAAGATTAATGTTGGAGCACTGGCATGTGATGGAAAGGATCCCATTGATAAGAAGATTAAAGTGATTAAGGAGGAGCCTAGAGATTTGGACTTAAACAATGGAGAGAATGCCTCCAGGGCAAGACCACACCCACTTAAGCCTCCAACTTGTGAAAGCAAAATGCAGGGACCACTGAAGAGAAAACCTTTGAAAATGGATAAAGCAGACTGGAGCCCATCAAAAACTTGTAGTCAAACTTGGCATTGTCATTCACTTGGTGCTGGCTTTAGAGGCATGAAAGATGCAAGAGTGAAGGGGTCATCAGTTCTTCCTCTGCAGTTTCAGAGAGCCGCTGAGTCCAGGCAGCATGCAGCAGAGGTTTCCCTCCATAGATAAGGCCCTGATAGGCCATTGCATGAAGCTGTGAAGGTGAAGCCTGGTTGGCAGTGGAGACCCCAAAAAGACATTCGTGATGCCAGAGCAGTGAGGCATCTGCCAAGAAGACCTGCATACAGGGAGTGGTACCAGCACGAGAGAGAGGTGTGTTGCACGCAGCAAAGGTAGAAAGGCTGAGCTGTCTAAGCCCTTTGGAAATAAAGTCACAGAAGTCAGACATGGAGCTACTGGATTTGGTGTTTGTCCTGCTGGCTTTTTATCTTGTTTTGGTCCTGTATTTCCTTACAATGCCTCCATACCTCCTTTTTGGAATGGTAATGTGTATTTGGTTCCACTGTATGTTGGAAGTATGTAATTTGTCTTTTGATTTTATAGAGGCTTACAGTTAAAATATTTACCTGAATCCACTTTGGACTGTGGACTTTTGAATAGTATTGAGACTGATAATGACTATGGAGACTTTTAAAGTTGGACTAAATGCGTTTTGCATTTTATATGGTCATGAGCCTTTGGGGGCCAGGAGGTGGAATGTGATGGTTTGAATGAAAAGGTCCCCCATAGGCTCCAAATATTTGGACATTTTGTCCCCACATGGTGGCGCTGTTTTGAGAGGAAGCACGTCACTGGGGGTGGACTTAGAGAGTTCTTAAGCCTTGCCAGATCTCTAGTTGCTCTCCCTTGCTTCCTGTGCCTGGGTGATCATGTGAGAGCTTAGCTTCTGCTGCTCCTGCTCCAGCCACCTCCAGCAACTATGCCTCCCTTCCATGACAGACTAATTCCCCTGGCACTGTAAGCTCAAGTAAACTCTTCCTTCTATAAATTGCTTGGGTCAGTGTTTCTATCACAGCAACAGAAAAGTGGCTAATAGAGAGTGTGATCAAGGAGGACACCCAGCACATAGACCTCTGCCCTCCACATACATGTGAACACATGGACACACCCACATGACCATATATATATACAGCACACCTGCTTACAAAAAAATGGGCAAGTTTGAATAGACCTCCAAAATACATATATGCGTGTGTGTGTACATATTGACACAAGTAGCCAATAAGCACATCAAGAGACTCTTAACATCAATAATCATTAAGGAAATGAAAATCATTACCATTTTCATATACATTAGGATGATCATTAAAAAAAGCAAAACAGCAAGAGTTGGCAAGCATGTGAGGAAATTTGGAACCCTTGTGCTTTACCAGCAGGAGTGTAAAATGCTGCACACCTATTGAAGGCAGTGGAGATGCCTCAGAAAAAAAAGTAACATGGCGCTCCTGCCCTCAGGCCTCTCTTGGGGTAAGTCTATCGCGCAGCCCTCCATGCCTTGACTCCCACAGCCGCATTCACCCTTCCATCTCCCCCGCTGTTCTCTACTCCTTGTTTGGGCCCTGTGCCATTCCTAGTCTTGGGGCCCCAGACACCTGGGGAGCCAGTGCTGCTTCCTGATCCTTTTCACCCGGACCAGCTTGGTGCCTTCCTTGGGCCCCAGGAGCACTGCTTCTGGACCTGGCCCTGCCCTCACCTCTCTCTGCTTCCCTGGACCTGCACCACCGGCTGGCTCTCCTGGCCTGCTCTCCTACCCTCAGGCCACTCTTGGGGTGGGTCTATCACAGAGCCCTCTGCGCCTTCACTCCCCCAACCTCATTCGCCCTTCCATCTCCCCCGCTGTTCTCTGTTCCCGGTTTGGACCCTGCACCATTCCTGGTCTTGGGTCCCCAGACACCTGGGGAACCGGTGCTGCTTCCTGATCCTTTTCACCCAGGCCAGCTTGGTGCCTTCTTTGGGCTCCAGGAGCACTGCTTCCCGACCTGGCCCCGCCCTCACCTCTCTCTGCTTCCCTGGGCCTGTACCACTGGCTAACTCTCCTAATCTCTCCTATCCTCAGGCCTCGGGCTAGGTCATTCGCGCGGCCCTCTGCTCCTTGACTCCCCCAGCCTCATTCACCCTTCCATCTCCCCCGCTGTTCTCTACTCCTGGTTTGGGCCCTGTGCCATTCCTAGTCTTGGGGCCCCAGACACCTGGGGAACCAATACTGCTTCCTGATCTTTTTCACCCAG